ACTTACAATACTTCTGCTTCCTGCAGGGCTCCCAAACAGGATTTATACCATCCCTTTAGCTGCTAGCTATTATACCCAGATATTTAGTTATATAAAAAATTATATACAAATATACTACGCTGACAGAATAGAGCATTCTTTGAATGATATGGGCTTATGTACCCCCTCAGGGGGCACAATAGTTTTGAAGTACTTCACCCCCCTTCAACGGTATAGCCACAAACAATCTAAGGTCATAATCATATTCTAACTATACTAGCCACATAAAGAAACTGTGCATTGTCAAAATATTATCCCAGTTGATAATTACTTTAACAATGTCAAAGGTACATATAAACTTTAATGGAGGGATCATGAGACCATAACAAGTCGGGAGAATTTCAATTGAAAAGTCAATCACAATGACGTCACGAATCCACAAGCGGGACAGGGGCCAAACGACCATGTCACAAGCTCAATAACGGGTATGTCCACCATCGGCATTGAGAACAGCAGTGCATCGACGACGCATAGAGCCTATCAAACGTGCAAGGAAGGCTTGTGGGATGTCACGCCAGATTCTCTCAAGTTCTGTTGCAAGGTCAAGGACGTTATCTGGCGGATGAGGAAGACGGCATAGACGTCGATCCATCTCGTCCCAAACATGCTCTATCGGGAAGAGATCCGGTGAATTTGCAGGGCGGGCATTGTCCTGTTGGAATGTTAACCCGGGGCCATGACGTTGCAGAAAAGGAATTGCCACAGGTCGAAGAATCTGATCCCTGTAGCCCACACCAGTTAAGTTGCCCTGAACAATCACCAAAGGAGTTCTTTTGCGTGCTGTTATTACACCCCAAATCATCACGGAACCACCACCAAAGCGATTCCTTTCCAAGACCCAGGCCTGTGCATAACGTTCTCCCACGCGTCTATAGGCACGTTGACGTCCATCACTATGGGAAATGTTAAACCTGGACTCAAAAAACAATATTTCTCCACCAAAACAAGGGTCTGCGGACATGATTTCGGCACCATATTCTGCGAGCTTGTCGGTGACGTTGTGCCAGGATAAGCCGTATGGCGGACTTCGTGGTCTGATCCCGTGATGACGTTGTCGAACTGTGTTGGGGTGGATACGGCGAAGTCCTGGGATGGTTCGGGCAGTCATCACTGCAGTCTGAAACCTGTGGCGAAGGTGGGTCACCCTTATCCACCTGTCCTGCCTTGGCGTTGTTACACGTGGACGTCCAGAACATGGCCGATCGATGACGTCATTTGTGTTCTGGTAGCGTCTCACCAGTGCAGAAATGGTGTTCCGGTGGCAGTGGAAATGTGCAGCCACTTGTCGTTGAGACATTCCCCCACGGACCATCCAAATGGCCTCATGACGTTGTGCAGACGTCAGCCTTGGCATGCTATGCGTTTCAATAGCCGTTTAATTTTTTGAACGATCGCAAGGGCAGGGGTTGAGCTTTCCAAAGTGACAGTATTGTGTGGCATTCATTTGCTCTGTTTCTCTTTCCCCGAATGCACGTGCAACAACGTATTGCACGTCTCAAGGACGAACCCACTGACGTCACGGAACGTGGCACGTGGCACGTGCATGCATGTTGGATACATGTCACTAATCTCTGAGTTTAAATCCTTATGTGTCTACACAGGTTTGATAAATTTAGATTTAAATTTTTTGTATGCACAGTTTCTTTATGTGCCTAGTATATTATACCATACCGTCTGTATTATACCATTCCCTGTATTTCCGACAACGGTTCAGACAGTGGTATGAGTTTAAAACATCAGAATTAGATTTATAACTGTGTAATGTATTACATGCAAATGTCCAAAGGTGTGAGTGAGTGTGTTAGTATAGTTTTATGCCGCCTTTAGCAATATTTCTGCAATATCCCAACGGGGGACACCAGAAATGGGCTTCACACATTTTAGCCATGTGGGGAATCGAACCCAGATCTTCGACGTGACGAGCACTAGGCCACCCCACTGCTCCTCCAGAGAAGTCCCAAGGCTTTCAACGAAAAGACTATTTCGTCTACAGTGAGTCCGATATGATCATGGTTCGCTCGAAAGCCTGACAGATGTGTTGATGTCCACTATTGCCCACAAAACCATTTTGTAGGACGCAAACATTTAAAATGTAGCATGCTGTTAGGACTTCTGTGAATGATATACTAGTAATTCCCATACATATATTTTTTTAAAAGTCAACTTCACGTTATATGGGTGTTATATACTCCAGGCCGGTTGAAGTAACGTAAAATATAAGTGTTCCCCCATTTGAAGTATTTGTATGATTGCCAGACTTTGAAACGCAGCATATTTGTTATTTTGAATGTAGGCAAGACTCGTGAAATGTCACCAGTGACTGAGGGGATGGTGTAAACATAGCTAGGGTCCACACAGGTAGTAAAGTTCTGTTAGTCCCCGTGGTCTATAGTATGGTCATGTACCTTCAGTTAATTGCGTTCTATAGCCGATTTTTCTGTTGTGTTGTTGATTCATAACCTATTCTTTTAACTGATTGCAACTTATATTGTACCTGTGCTATTTTGTTATTATACTGTCCATCGATGACAAGCGTTTTAGTCAAACTATATTTTACATTTATATTTAAATTCTCGTCACGATATTACCGATGTGATGTGAGTTTAACTCCCTTACGATTTTTCTGCCGGTCCCCATCGTCCATCGTGGGCTCGGCGCCATTTGACATTTATGGCCTATAGGTAGGCAGTTGAGGAGATATTTGGGCATTGACATTAATTCTGCCCACGTACTGTCTTGCCGTCTGGTCTAGAAGATTTTAGAGCAACCTGACCATAAAAACATACGGCTGTACTAACATGCCGACTGATGCTCTCTCTGGAATAGTTCCACAGCGCCCCCTCACCCCTGCTTGTTGAAAAATGTATCTTTATGTTTTTGCTGTGAGTTGTGCCGGTGGTGGGAGGGATTCTTGTAGCTGAGGGCACAGGAGCAAGGAACCGTGTATATTATAAGTTGTTCACTGGTCACGAGGGGGACATGGGTTGATGTACCCTCGATGTTTGTTTGTTTATGAAAGGCCCAGGGAACATAAACAAACATCGAGGGTACATCGACCCATGGGCCCCAAGGGATCAGTGAACAACGTATTTATCTTACCGAACACCCTAATGTTAATTTTGAATTGTTTGAAGCACGGGTACAAATCTTTTTGTAGCCATGCTAAATTTTGCTGACAATAAAAACAAATTTAGAGTTATCTCCCCTTCCATCGATTTGCATTCGCAAAACATCGGTAATTTCCGTACATCAAGCGTGATTCAATGTAATTCGAGATAAAGAATTACTACCACGAAGTACCAAATCAGTTGCCATTGACAGCGGGGTACATTGAAATGTTACTCACTTGTAAGCGGGGTACATTGAACATAATAGACGAGCGCTCAGCCAATCAGAACGCGACATTTATGTGTCGGGTAAGATAAATTATATAATATATCAGTCTCATTGTAGTGGATGAATAGTTTTAAAATATTGGAATTGCTTTTTGCATCTACCGACAAATATTTTTCATACTTATTTTCATACTGAACGTCAGTTAACAGGAACGTAAACATGTGGCACACTGTCATGCAGCTAGAATTGCTCAGCAGGAACTGCATTTGCAATGCTGTGTTTCTTTCTTATCATCATAAATATGTTCATAGAACAAAGGAGACCAGTGAGTAGTGACAGAACATGCACGTTTGAAGTGTGATTGGATTGCACATACGTACATATATAATGAATAAAAATCCTGCTGCCATTTATACATGATGATCTAATTGCGATATTGTGTTTTATCTGAACATTAACGACAACGGATATTCAATAACCGTTTTTATTGTATATTAATATTTTGCTCAAGGTGAAAGGGTGATATCGGGTTCAGTCTGTTCAACAACGTTCTTATGAAATCTTGTTTAATAGATCATCTTGTACATTTCAGGTCATAGTAAGATATTGCATACGATAATAAGAACGACAACTATGTCTAAAAGAAAATCGGAAATGGGTCAAATTCCTGTCTTCAGTTACCAATAATTGTCGTGACCAATAAACCAATAATTGCCGGGTGGTCAGTCTCCCCTGACTCGGTTGACACATGTCATCGTATCCCAGATTGATGCTCATGCTGTGGATCAGACAATCATTGTCTGGTACAGACTCGATTCTTTACAGACAGCCGCCATAGAGCTGGAATATTGCTGAATGCGACGTAATATAACAAACCAAACCGAATATGCCACTTGAAGACGTTCTGATATGTCTTTGGGACGTTGGTGATGTCACGTGCTTCAACTGCATACTTTGACGTTTTGTTTCTGTGACTTTAATTCACTCTCACTATTTACATTTGTTCTTCGTTATAATTGTAAATAATGTCGTGATGTTTAAATGTGCAGATCATCTTCTAGTTCATCTTAAACAATGTTCTGTGTATACAAGTACTATTTACGGCAAAGATATTATTCATTATTGTTGAAATCCGTCCTAGTAGTTTTGTGGCATTGTATTTATAATGGACTTGCTTTTGAGTGTGAACTTAGTCTCGTCGTTGTTTGGCAGACGTTATATCATAATTTAATCACTCACCGAAGCAGCTAGCTGTGGGAAAGATAGCAATACGACAGTCACTGCTATCGAATGTATTTATTGGTTGAATAAAATCAACAGGAACTATTGCCAATACATCAGCAATCTACCGAATCTAGCCAACTCACAAAAACATAGAAGGCTGACAATTGGTAGTTTTGTGTACCCGCCCGTTAAGCCTAAACAGCTTCCATCGCCGAAAGCTATTAATACCCAATGCATGTGAAAATGAGCTCAATGTAACATATGCTATTTGGATTACACTTTATCGGTATCTGACATGAAATATACAAAGGCCTGGCGATGCTGTACAGAAATACATAACACGACAGCTGTTGGTGAATCGGATCAGTGCATATAGCTGAATGTTAGTAATTCCCAGAAAGATGGATATCACGCAGGGGGCAGAAACTGTTTCTCGTCGAGAGGAAATTGATGTGGATTTTGAGGGAAATGTTGTCGAGAAGGCCCAATGGTCTAACAAGTTCCAGAGTGTCATTGCCCTGCTCGGATTTTCTGTAGGACTTGGCAACTTATGGCGATTCCCCTACATGTGTCAGCGGAATGGAGGAGGTACGTAGTTACATGATGCTTAAGTAACAGATGTCATCAGCCTCGGCCATAATTTAGTCAGAAATATAGCTGTTTTGACAGACACGAGGTACATTTCTTGCTTTTTTGTCTCTGCTGTACTTCCGAGAAAAAAAGCTCTAAATTACATACCATTTAGAATACATTGTTGTATATGTAGATTCTTAACAGAAAGTAAGAAGGAACCAGTTGACAAATACATTCATTTGACAGTGTCACAATATCTAATAAATTCTCGCTACAGCAATTCTATGCTTTTAATGAGTTATTTATTTCTTAAATAGTTCACAAAATTAAACACAACCTAATAGTAATGAGAGGTGACTTACGGGATCTGGTGGTCAGGCATCCCTTTTGATATAAATAAATTCATTGGCTTTATCAAAAAGGACAAGATCAGGTTTTTTGGCTGGAATTCTTCTGAGGCTGTATATGGGCCTATTCCATATAAGCTGGAAAGCATCATTTTCCATGACGCCCTGGACATGTTCAGGGTCGTACCATGGATGGGCCTCAGAGTCAAAGCCACAGACATGGCGGAGACGGTAGTAAAAGCAACGAGCCATGCCATCATGTCGTTTTAGATATGATGTTTGTGCCAAAAAAGGGCATCCACTGACAAGGTGTTGGACAGTCTCTGTAAATTCATTACATAGTCGACATATCTTATTAATGTTTTCTTTGAGAATCACATTTTGGCGATTACGAGTGGGAAGTGACTGGTCCTGAGCAGCAAAAAGGAAGCCCTCAGTTCCACATTTAAGACCAGCCGACTTCATCGAGGCGAAGGAGTCGGTTGGATTGCAATTCTGTTCTACACACTGTATGTACACACGATGCAATGGCTTCTCAGAAAGCTTCTCCACAAATGACCGACTCTGGGCAGACTTGGTGAAGGACTTCACCTGGTTTACACCCATCGCTGTACCGTCCAGCAGTACAACGCCATCAACAAAATCAACCTCAAATTTCAGATTCTGTCCAACAACCTTGGCACGCTTAAAATAGCTGTGGAATTCCTTGCTTTCATCATGAGTCTTCACATGCATCACCAGAGGATCATCCGACAAATAAATATGTGCAAAAGTACACAATACAATTTTATCATGAAGAGCCTCCACATTAATCAAACTCCAACCTCCAGATTTGATTGGCATATATAAACGGTTAAGAGAGGAACGAGGGTGGTGGGCTCTGTTATCAGACATGATCCTTCTGGTCAGGCGGTCAAGACTCTGGATGTCTTGTTTTGTCCAATCAACTACTCCAAAGGAATAGGAAAGGACTGGCACAGCAAAAGTATTGGTGGCTTTGACCTTGTTTGGAGCATTTATCCCTGAGCTCCAGATTTTCTTTAAGCGAGATGTGTACAAGTTTTTCTTGCATTCCAAGATAGGTGTAGGCCTGATCTTCACAAGATGCTCAATAACTCATCCCCCCCCTGTAACTTGACCGATCCACCATTAACTGCCTTGCCACCTTCAAATGAAGAGTACTACATTTGTCGAGTCCAAATGTCATGCCAATATCTTTAGAAAAGGATTCGACAATGAGAACCTGCTCTTTTAAACTGGCATCTCCTTTGGCAAGGAGCTGAATGTCATCCATGTAAAGGAGATGAGTAAGCGGTATTGGGGATCTGCGCTGAGGAGGTCCGGGATGGTAACCCTCCTCTTTATTGAGCAGAAAGCTCAAAGGATTTAGAGACAAACAAAAAAGCAAAGGACTGAAGGAGTCCCCCTGGAAAATTCCCCTTCTGATTGGAATAGATTCCTAAGTCTGCACCTGCGATTACATCTCAAGTTGAGTCGACCAGCAACTCATTAAAGACTTGAGTTAATCAAGTAGTCGCTCAGGGAGGTCAATACAACGGAGAGACTTCAGAATCCATTCATGAGGGACAGTGTCGTATGCTTTATTGTAGTCAATCCAGCACATTTTGGGGTTGCGGTGATGTTTTAGCCTCTTCCAAAATCATTTTCTGTACAAGAAGTTGACCCTTGCACCCCCAACATCCCTGTCTCGCCCCCCTGTGCTCTCTGTAAATTATATCATTGGAAGAGCAGTAAGATGACACGAGACTTGTTAAACATCCTGTGAAAATTTTATACTGAAATTCAAACATGTGATAGGGATGAAGTTTTTGGGATCAGTCAAGTCTCCTTTTTGGGGAAAGAGTATTGTGCGACCTTTGCAGAACCATGGAGGAACATCACCTGTGTCCACAAGAGAATTGAAACAGTGAAGTAATGGTGGAACAGTTTCCAATACCGGTTTCGAATGCCATCAGGCCCTGGACTTTTTTTTATGACACTTTTCAGTCAATCTGGTGAGATGTAACAGGCAAACGACCTAGTTACTTTCTCATGCATTGCATGGTCATAATCACTGACCCATGTTGTCGCCGGGTACAGACCACAACTGTTTCCAGAACCTTTCATTGGCATCCATGGGATGCCGTATCTCATGCTCGCCATCACCGTTTGTTTTAAGTTGCATTTAGAAGTGTTTTTCATTTTTTCTAAAAAGTTTAATTTGTTGGATGAATATATTTTTATTTTCCCATGTTTTCTTTCTTTCAGTCCAAACCTTCATTTTTGCCTTAAGGGAATGGGTAACTTGGAGAAATATCTTTTCTTTCGTCGTTTTGTATTTCAGTTTTAATTTTCTCCAAACTGCCTTTTGTCGTTTTGACATTGGACTCCCTGATGATCTTAACTTCAGGCAAAGCTCTATTGGTCTTCAATAACCTATATTTCTCGTAAGAGGCGACTGATGGGACCGGGTGGTCAGGCTCCCTGATTCGGTTGACACATGTCATCGCATCCCAGATTGATCTCATGATGTTGATCACTTGATTGTCTGGTACAGACTCGATTATTTACAGACAGCCGCCATAGAGCTGGAATATTGCTGAATGCGGCGTTATACAACAAACCAACCAGTCAGCCACCTCCCATTCTTACCTCACATAAAATATCTGAAGGCAAAGTGTATCAGTGCTATTTCAAATTCCCAGTGTGGAATAGGCCAAACAACTCACCTTCACGTTTACAGATCATTACTCTGTGACTCTATTGTCTGTGGTGTAACCTGCACAAGCAACCGAGAAAATGTAGATCCTATACACTATGAGATGCACAAGCAGTAAATCTGAAAGAAATACTTTCCAGGCATCTCATCACAAACTACCTGAAAAGATATTGCAAATATGTACGAGCGATGTCCCAAACGTTTCCGGCCTCCCTAACTAATATGCAATCTAAATGAAAATTATTGTACTTATTTTTCAACATAATCTCTCTTCACTTCAATGCACTAGTCCACTGTTTCTCCAATTTATTTAACCAGTGTGAAAACCATTGTTTGTCACGTGACCCCCAAATTCCTCCGTCTATGATTTGTGGTACCTGAGGTACATTTGAGTTGAGGGAAAAGAAAGAAGTCAGAAGGGGCAAGATCTGGAGAATAGGCAAGGTGAGGGAGGATCTTGAAGCCACGGTCCCGTGCAGCACATGCCACTTGGGGCGTGTGAACGGGAGCATTTTCCTGCAGGAGACAGGCACCTTGGCGAAATTTACATCGGCGTAAATCTACGCAATGCATCGGTGTAATATTATAATATATTGTGGAACCATTCCTTAAATAGTCTGTCATGATTACGCCTGCAGAGTACCAGAAAACGGAGACCATGATTTTTCCACTGGAAGATGTTCTTTTAATTGTTGGGGGCGTTGGTGACGTCACGTGCTTCCACTACATACTTTGTTTTTGTCTCTTGGTCAAAATGATGAACCCAGGTTTCACCCTGCGTAACAATATGACACATGAAAGCACATGGATGTCTCGAGAAACTGACGACAAACCCCGACTCTCTGACGTTTGTTTTCTTCAGATAACAGTCGGGGCATCCAACGGGTAATAAGTCTATCCTGTAGAAGTTTGCGGATGCTGCCGATGTTTCTCATGAAGACGTAACAATATGACTCATGATTATGGCTGTCACTTGTTCCATGGAGAGTGAGGTGTCGAGATAACCTCTTAGATTTTTCAGACAGGATGAGAAGGGAATATTCGATTCATCAACTGTTGTACGTGTGGTTATGTTCAAACTTTCTGAGGCCAACTGGAGGACCGATCATCATAGTCTATATTGTCCGCGTTCAACATAAGGATTACACGTTGTGTATGCAGGTTTCCATGTTTCTGATGCAATGTCATTGAGATGCAGCATCAACACCACACTTGTCAGGCAACAAGGTAGACATCTTGTACATATGCACATTTTCATGGATTATTCGTTCCACTGATGTTTTGATAATGCCATGTGCAGTAGCTAATAGGTACCCTGTCCTGCATCATTGTGTCGAGAACAGCAACAGTTTTATGTTTGGTAGTCACTTAATGAGGGCGACCAGACCGTGCCTTCTCGTCGGTGCTGCGCCTGCCCCCTTGTACATTCAGCACACCGCTGTTTGACCGCACCATACGAAAAGAGCATTGTCACCTGTGTCATGTCATCATGAATTTGCCTTGGTGTAAACTTTCTTAAATGAAGATACTTCATAACAGCCTTACATTTGGTTCTCTCCATTTTGAAAGCAAACAATAGGGTCGTGTTATTAGACAGCTATATATAGGAATGGTGTAGATCCAGCTTGGGTCCATGCAGGTAGCAAAAACACTGTGAGTCCCCATGGTTGATCTTAGGTTGTTTGGCGACCTATAGTCCATTTTTATATTGTACTGTTAAAGATAGAAAAAGTGTTTTATGGTTACATGCTGGTTTTATGTATAAATCTGTGATAGACAAGTTATTTTACTGTCCTTTGCAGACAGGTAAGTATATAAATTTGTTTTTATCACATTCACGATATGGCTGAAATACTGCTGATGTTACTTTAAACTTTAACTCTCAATTTACATTTGTCCTTTATTAAACTTGTAAATAATATTTTAATGTTAAAATGTGCAGATAAAAGTATCACCTCGTGGTTCATCATAAACAATGTTCTCTTTATACAAGTACTACGTATACATACGGCAATAAATAATATTCATTATTCTTCAAATCCGTCCTAGAAGTTGTGTGGCTTTGCATTTATAATGAACTTGCTTATATGTGTGAACTTAGTCTCGTCGCTATTTGGCTCATTGAAGTAACTAGTTGTGGGAAACATAGCAATACGACAGTCAATACTGTTTTCGAATTCATATCTTGGTTGATTTAAATGACCAAAAACTGCCAATACATCAGCAATCAACCCATCCCAGCCAACTCTGTTTCAAGAAAACATAGAAGTCTGACAACTGGTAGTCTGGAACATGTACTGTGTGTACCTGCCTGTCAAGTGTAAACAGCTTCCATCGCCGAAAGCTATTAATACCCAGTGCATATGCTCATCCGTGTGTAGAATTTCCTTCTTCTGTTGTCAAACTTAATAGACTTATATACACTAGTCTTAAATATTTTGAATACATTTCCTTCATTTTTGTTAAAGAGTTTAATTTCATTTGTTAGATTAGACAATGCAGTGGTATGAGTGTTTTTCGCTGATAGTATAATGAACACCCTGAAAAGTATTGACTTTGTGCATGGTTACCCCATGCACAGGCTGGAACTTAATGTACTAACGTATACCGTAATTGCGCATGCAGTATACAAGGTTTTCTTATTCTGTTGGAAATGTACATTGAAGGTTAGGTAGAGGATCTATAAATGCTAGATTTGAATTTTGATAATGACTTAAATTTGCTTACTTCTGAAGATAAATTTGTTTCACAATCGGATCGTAGATGTGAAATTCTTATTCTTGGTATTGACAATAAACAATTCCCGAATAACCTTTTAGAGACCACCTGATATCATCGCTATTCGATAGTGATTCATAAACACATGCTTCGTCATCATATCTCATTATGTCATTCTCTAGATAGTCTAGTGGGGGCTCTATAATTCACACCGCCATCCTGAACAAGTATTATTGCTGACTCTTTCCTTTAGCAAACAAATAGAACAGTGAGTGGTGAGTTAAGATTTGCAGTCACACCGGCAATATTTCAGCCATATCGTGACTAAAACAAGATTAGAATTCGCCATAAATACATGTCAATTATAAAAACCTGTCATCGAAGGACAGTAAAACCAATAAAATATCACAATATCAAGAAATAAAACTAGCATCTCTCTAAAATTGGATTTCAATTAAGGACAATACAATACAAAAATTGCCTATAGGTCGCCAACAACTGAAGGTAGATCACCATACTTGGGACCATGGGGACTTATAGTGCATTTTCTACCTGCATGGACCCTAGTTAGATTTACACCATCCCTTTAGTCGTCGGCGACCTTGGAACTCTGTCTTTTAGTTAAACTAGACATTTGTTGTTCAGAAGTTTTCTTATTCATCTACGTCCTGGGCCCCTATTCTCGAAAGGATCCTAGCCCAAGGATGTCCTAACTTTGATCCTAGGGTCTAGGATAGGTGTCCTACCTTATTCTCGAAAAGTATCCTAGCGCTAGGATGTCCTAACTTAGGACAAATACTAGGATAGGTTCTGACGTGTCCTAAGTCTATCTTAGTGGAAGTCAACATAGAGTGGTACTTGTTTGTTCACCAATTTTGACGTCAAACAAAATAACTCGTCAAACTTACATTTGAATTTACAACAGCACACAGTTTTGACGAGTTATGAAGAGTTTATTCAGTTCATATTATCAATTAATCGGTAATGAATAGACACACTTGTTGCAATGCACGCATTCTTTAGATCTACAAAAGAGATTTGTTCAATTCTTACCTATTCTCGGCCTTTTTTAATCACAACATTGCTCTTTTCAGTCACATTCACGTAAAATGTCAATGTCAAGGCCAACTTGATAGGGGAAGTAACTCCTGTTTATTTCCTAGGTGAATTTTTCAGTTTGTGAGATGACGCATAATGAGAGTTCAAGTCATGATTTTCATAAAAAAAACAAAAAAACAATGAAAATATGTTTTTACACATATCTTTAATATCCTTATTTCTTTTTGGCAGACTTTCAAATTCTGAAGTAAAATTGTTATCGCCTTGTCAAAAACATTTCCAATTACTATAATGTGATGAAAATATCGAATAATTTCTTCTAGATCTACTAAGTCCATCAAAAGCTGAATTTCCTTATATTATGTGTTTTTTTATGCCACGAATCATGGGTATTATTTAGGGGAATCCCCAACTAAATGAAGGTTTTTCTATCTCACCTCCTGAAGAGCTCGCTATCCTAGCTAGGATAGGCAGCACAAGTTAGGACAGGGATAGGATTGTTTCGAGAATGGGTCTTATCCTTACGGTAGGATGTCTTAACTTCTGTCTTAAATACTTAGGATCTGTCTTAGCTGGGACACTTTCGAGAATAGGGGCCCTGATACTCTTCCCACAGCTGTCACATAAACTAGTGAATAAAAAAAAGAATACTTGGGAAACAGATGGGAAGGTTTCGCTTATCTTCTTTCTCAAGAAAAATATGGATCGCTGAAGACTAATTCTAACCCGGATCTTCACTAATATTTTCCCATTTGCGTATTGCAGGTGCGTTTTTGATCCCTCACATGATCTTCACGGTCATTGTTGCGATCCCACTCTTCTTCTTGGAGGCTGCCCTTGGTCAGTTCTCCCGTAAAGGTCCCATAGGAGTATGGGCGCTGTGTCCTTTGATGAAAGGTACGTCGGATAAATGAAATATTTGAAAGCACACAGTGTGAAATATTCATGAAAGTATTTAAGGCTACGTTGGCTTAAACCGATCCTGAAAGGTTAATTCACAACAAACAGTAGCAATGATATTATATCTATACAGCATTACCATGGACATGTAACCGCAAACTCAACTCCAGCAGAGTAGCAGGAGCGAGATTGAAGCAATCTGGGCACTGCGACTGTTATATGGTCTGGTCATCAACATGTTATTGTCAACAAGTTTACAAACAAAAATATTTCAAAGCGAAGAAAAATATGTAGATTTGACAGCATTAAAATAAATATTAGTTTTAAAATGTAAATTAATACTGTCAAACTGATCAAAAAGTGTATAGCGTGTTAATCTCCCAACAAAGTTGCATACGATAGGCTACACCTTTGAAAACAAGGTTTAACCAAAGTGAAACATTTGGTTGTTCAGACGCCATCTTCTTCATCATCGTGGATAGAGGCTCTGTCAAGAGACTAGACAGTTGGCGAAGCCAGCGCCATTCCAAAGATGGCGTTTGACAGTACACGTACAATGGACTTAAACTTATAAAGCACAAATTGATGTTATCTCAGCGAGCTGTGGAACCTGCACAGATACAGACTGGTATACTCAACCACACACACAAACTCACGCATGCACGTTGGTATAACAACAACATGCCTCATTTACCTCAACTCGTTTTTGCAGGTATTGGCTTTGGTATCCTGATTATCAGTATCATCATTGTGCCATACTACAGTGTAATGTTTGCCTGGGCCCTCTACTACATCTACAGCTCCTTCTCCACCGTCCTGCCCTGGACAACATGTGGCAACTCATGGAACACACCGCAATGCGTGGCTGTTGGTGATTCAACACGTATCCCCAATAACTCTACAGATGAATCAAGATTCAATATGACAACATATTCGTATCCAATGAACGCTTCTAGTGAGACCAGCATGGTCACAAAAGTATCAAACGTCTTTGGTCATACGGCAACAGAAGAATTCTGGCAGTAAGTACACACACACACACACACACACACACACACACTTCTTTATTCCTACTGATGCAACATTGAAATGACGTTTTATATCTGCACGTGTGTAATTATCTGTTTTAGGTACAATGTACTGGACATTTCATCAGGAATAGATGACCTTGGCACTGTCCAGCTCCACCTCTTCATTTGCTGGTTTCTTACATGCCTGCTCCTTTTTCTTGGTATCGCAAAGGGAATCAAATCTCTTGGCAAAGTAATTTTCCATATTAATTAGAATAGTGTTTAAGTACCTATTGATATAGTCGCGATCACTGACAACTCGTGAATTAATTGATTCAGAAAAATTAATTCAGTGTGGTGTTTAAGTAACATCAAGATGGTCTAAATTATATTTGCCGCTACATAAAAGCTATTTCTCAATTTCTCAAGATATATTTTATGACTACTTTTTCCTACCTGGATTACCATGATTGTAATTCCTTATAATTCGTGCGTCAACAGGTAGTGTATGTGACAGCGTTGATGCCATACATACTGCTAACGATACTGCTGGTCAGGGCGTGCATGATGCCAGGTTCTCTGGACGGGATTTTATATTATATGACTCCTGACTTTCGCCGTCTTCAACAAGCACAGGTCAACGACCATATTTCTTAATAAAACGTCATTTAAGGTTAAGTAAAGACCACAGTAACAACACGTTTACTTAACAGACCAGTAAGTATTTTCAGGAATCATGAAAAATTATTGTTAAAAGGATGAAAGTTCGCCTCTTGTTTTGCTCATTTGAGTTTAACCAAATGAAAAATTTACCGGGCTATTTAAAAAATACACAAGAGTTGATGACAATATGGTCATAAGGATGAAAATGGACGAAATATGGATTATATAATCAGAAACTCTCCATACTCCTAATATATATAATATACGATTGTTTCAGGTGTGGTTAGAAGCAATTATTCAGGTGTTTTTCTCAGTGGGACCTGCTTGTGGCACTATCATCATCATGTCCAGCCACAACTCTCCCCACAACAACGTTGCAAGGTAACACAATTATTTTTGGCAATTTTCTAAGCATTCCGTTTTTCTGACCAACTGGTGAATCGTTTGGTATGATTAACACACACACACGCCAATTCAGTATGTTCAGCTATAGTTACACTATTATTGAATAAGGTCAAATATTTCCAGCTTGACTTCGTACAAGATCGTTTCCATTGATCAGTTGTCAATATGGACAATTTTTCGATTTGTTGAAAACACCCAGACCCGTACATATACACAGAGAGAACTTAATTAAGCACCCCCCTGACATATCTCACGATTGAATGAGCCCCGATCTGAACCCTTTGGTGCATATCTGGGACATGATTGGTCGTAGTGTGCAACAGAAGGATCGTCCTTTACAGAACCTGGCCAATTAGAAGCTGCTTTACACGAGGAGTGGCGTAGACTGCCCCTTCAGAGGATCAGGAGGCCGGGAAGGGTTATGAAGAGGAGAGTACTGACTGGCATACATTATAGATGCACATTGTATCACATGGCACTGTAATAAACTAATAAACTAAACTGTTTGACAGTCGATAGTATAACTCTTGATTCTTCCTTACAGGGATGCAATCGTTGTCACTCTGATAGCAGAGATGACAAGTGTTTTTGTTGGGCTTGTTGTGTTTGCAACGGTAGGCTTCTTGGCTCATGATCTTGGACAACCTATAGCTAAGGTCATCACTTCAGGTAAGTTATCCGATTCAATACGAATTGTTACGGTTAAGAATTTGCCTTGGGGAGGTCTGAGAGTCCCCTTTGAACAAAGCAAATTGATCACAGACAATTCTAAAATATTCAAGAATATATTGAATAAAGAATGAGCAAGGTTACAATAAATGCCACTACAGATTTCTTAACTATTGAGTCACAAATCTGATATATATATATATATATATACTAAATGTTTATAATTACCGCAGACTTTTCTGTGGTACTGATTGAGGATTGAGTTGACGGAAACGAAACGAAGTGAGCTAAAGTTACCAGCAGACAAATCCAAAGCAGTCCTCAAATTTGTGTCTTAGTCTGCCCCGTACATCTCAGAAACCACTGCTTACATATCTTTCACTCAGTTCTGGAGAAAAATAGAATATGTCTATAAATAGTTACGTATAAAAATATATTCTAATCATCAGATGCTAGATGGGACAGTCAGTTCTCTTACTGATTTTTGTTGACATATTTTATAGTTGTAGAATGCATTGTTTTATATAGCTCGTATTAGTTCCGAAGGAATACTGCCGACTGCCGAAATACTGTGACTTGAATATTACCTCACTCACTCATTCTTTCAAAATGATTCCCTGCTTGTTGATTGTAGGTCCTGGCATTGGGTTTATTGTGTATCCAGAGGCAGTTGCCCTACTACCGGTCTCGCAGCTGTGGTCAGTGCTGTTCTTCTTGGTAGTCCTGATGATGGGTATCGATTCGATGGTGATTTCAATTCCATATGCATCATATAAATGCCTTTGTGTTAACAATATCCTATCAATTCACAGAATATGAAAACAAAATCATTGCATGACCTCAAAGCATCCAGATAAGAATAAACACGCGTTGATACTATCCATCCATAATGAATTTGCGAATATAATGTCAGTTTCATCACGGCCATTGGAAGTAAAACCTATAAACCGTTTTTCCACATCAAAAAAGAAATCGATTGCACAATTCCAACTATTTCAAGAGCATGTGTTTATGAATAACTATCAATTAGTGATGATACCAGGTGTTCGCGAAAGATGAGCGTATCTTTCCTTAAAGGCTCCATCTGTCATAAAGATAGGCAAAGCCTAGTTAATTCCTCAAACAAATCATGAAAGTATGGTACAAAGCAAAACATCTGATATAATTTTCTGTCACTGATGCGTCAAAATTTGAAATTCCTACACATTGATATTGTGATACATTTTGAAGGCTTCACTGAGTCTTTGAAGGGTATTACAAAGTAACACAATCCGTTGACGTTTAGTAATAAATATAATGGTGGGTATGGTGATGACATCATGAAATTATCATAAACAACTCCGTTAGTCTTTGTTGAGCAGTTCGGCAATATAGAAGCAGCTCTTGGGTGTATAGAAGATATCCTACCATCGCGTTTCCATACCAAACACCTCCAGACCATACTGGCTGCTCTGTGGATGAGCGTTGTCTTCCTGTTTGGTCTCCCTTACACAACTAATGTGAGTATTCTTTTGTTTTGTGTGTTGTCTTACACGAAACTCACCAATATTTCATATACATCCAGGCGGGATCGTTAAGACATACACGAAGTTGTCTGACAACGTCAGGATATGATGACACTTAATGAGTCGTAACACACAGCTACCATACTACCATATGTATATAACAGCATCTAGATCAGACTGATCAAAGAAGACATGTCAACCCTCTTCGGTAGGTTGATGGATCAGAATATGGAACGTTTCTAACGCAGATGGTCATAAAATACAACTCGATGATAAGAACTGGGATTTTGTACCTGCAGTAGACGAATAGATCAGGAGTCATGTTTTTAATCATTGGCATAAACTACCCCAAAAAATACCATTGTTTGCTTCTGAATTAAGAATAGATGAAAGTTCAAAGTTGTTTAGTGGCAGGAAATATGTATTTTCAATTAATTATTACGTAATTTACATTTGCCCTCGGCGCCGTACGATAATTTGTCCACGATTTTGGGCATCTCAGATGGCTACAGCCTGCGGGGTTTGTGTTCACATTGTCTACGAGCATCGTGTCATTTCTTGTATTGGCTCTCAAGAGCTGGCCGGGGCAAATCTGTACAAAGGCTGTTCGGAGATTGTGCGGAAATTATGCAATTTCAGTGCAGTTGCAAATCCGCCTACATGATGCCTATGCTATTGACCAATCATAATTCGACAAACTGATCTTAAGGGTAATGACACGTTCTATGGACCCCAAAACCTGATGTTGACCTTGATAGCTGGCTGAACAGTTTTCTCGAGTGCTTACTGTCGACCTTCGATCGTGTTTTCATTCTTTTGACATGAATACCCTGGAGTCAAAAGGTTCCATCCGTTTTTGAATATGCATTCAATTGTATTTCAGGGTGGTGTGTACCTGTTCCAGTTAGTAGACTGGTATGTTGCAGCCATTACTTTGTTGGTAATCGGTGCTCTGGAATGCATTGTTGATGGTTGGTGCTACGGTAAGTTGGTATGCCAATGTGAAACATATCGATAAGTGTGCTACGTATCCGGTGCATTGCGGCCAGTTTTCGGTTTGTTACTTCACACGATTGAACAGTATTTTCCAAATGTGTGCATGCTAGGAAAGAACTTAGTAGTTCACATGACAAACGCAATCTGTGCATCATCTAGGACACCATATGTGACATACGACGCAGGTCTTGACACAATTGAGCATATATTAGAGGTGTGTGTATATGGTCGTCTACTTCATATATTTTAACGTGTTTAATAATCGTAAAGGCTGTGTAAAGATGACATAGATTTTAGTACTTCAGAACACGTGCATGAGGTGTAAATTAAGCCATATTTCAGACTAATTCGAAAAATAATTAACATATATTTCAATTTTTCAATGGTCAATATACAATTAAAAATTATCCGATTGTCGAGATTGAATGCATAGGAAATGATGCTTAAATACGGTCGGAAACAAAATATATAATGTATCCTCCTCAAGATGCCACTTGAGCGTTCTGCATCTTAGAAGCTGCTTTATCCGAGCGACTGCTTCTGCATTGACGTTCTGGATATGAGTTATATTCTCTAATGAGAAGTGGATGTGAACATTGAACTTTTAGGGGAAAAGGACATTTTGTTCCCTGGTTTGCTTTTAGAATCCCAACTAAATATTTGCTGATTTTAAATAGATGGATTCTCTAAACTCTAAACAAATAGATGTTTGTTGTATTAAAGAATAATCAGTTTCCTTCCTTGACTCTGTTTACAAGGTGCGAAACTTTTTGCTGCTGACGTTGAAGCTATGATTGGAAAACAGCTGCCAATTGTCTTCAAACTTCTGTGCTTCATCTTAATCCCTGTAATTCTAATAGTTGAGTATGGCTACAACACTAATCCCTATATATACGCAAATGGTTATAACGTTTGTTTCTTGAACATTTTACAGAACGTATTTAAAGACACTTGTTGATATATATTTTGTCGCTGTCACACTAATAACGTTAATTTAAATATAGGCTTACAGAGAAAAAGCTAAATATGTATTTACTAAGTATATATTCTACTTAAATAGCAAATTCGATTGCGTTCTTGAACATGTGTTGACGCAGATAGTGAACATTGAGATTGCCATGTGAAATTAGAATGCATACATATATAGTTCTGCAATCCTATGAATTACATGAGTGATGCTTCTGTGTCATATTTACGTTTATACAATAATATATTCTTGTTTTAAAGGTGGCCGTGTTTCTGAATTTCGCTTCTTACAAACCACCTTCTTACGGTAGTTACGAATATACACCCGTCGCTGTCTCTATTGGCTGGGGTATTGCTCTTGTATCGCTGGTACCTATTCCAGTATCCATGACGATAGATATCTGGAAGGAAAAGGGCACCTTAGCTCAGGTTTGTACTTTGCCTTTCGATGCTAAGTTGAACAGTTGAACTCACTTGAATCAATTGGTATATTTATTTTGTTTCACGGCAAAATGTCTTTTCGAAGATCATTGTTTCGGCTGTGCTTCAAATAGGCCACACGTTCGGTTAAACAAAAACAATGAGCTGTTTTGTTCACTGTTCATAGCTACACTAATTCCATGCAGTCGTTGTATGATGGCTTGACAAGTTACCGAGAATTAAAATACGAGCCAAAATATAGCCTCTTACAAAGGTTGTCCAGTACTTATTGTAACTAGAGAGTTAACCAAACTGATGGCAAATACATAACTTTAACTTCCTTTTGGCTAAATCAACAACTTGTACGGAATTTGAGTCAAATATGAAAGACGGTCATCTGTTTAATTACTGTTTTCCGGCTGTTACATGGCGACCCCTTGTTAATTGATGAGAGGTCTCTTCGGGTCAACGCCGTATAAATAGTATATGCACCCAGATGTGTAATAGTAATTGATCTTAAAATCTGATCGTATAATCTTATGGAAGGTACGACTCCTATGAGGTACAATTGTATTACAGTGTATTTGTATTTCAGCGTGTGAGAAAAGCCACAACTCCCAACCGCAAATGGGAAGAATTCAGACAACGCTATGGAGTGGAGAGAAAATCAAAATTAACTATGAAGGAGAACATTCTATTTCTTTTTAAGGGATGAAACTTACTGACCTACAGCTGATTGTCAGTATTTCCTCAAACCTATTTATGATGTTTCAGCACATGATCGTTATTCGTTAATGCTTGAGACGATCCAAATACTTTTCTTGAACGTTAGGTTTCCTGTGAAAAACAATATTGGCTCTCTGTAAAAGCTGCCAGAATTTGATTTGACTTTACTGTTCCATTGGTGAGGGAAATTAATTTGCTTAGACGTGTTTCTTTACATACAGTGGAATCTGGAACTGAATGTATTGCTGCATGCTTAAGTTGTATTTTTTTTTGCTGAGACTTTATTGCACATGTGGTTAAATACGCAATTCTTACCATTGGTTACTCTTACGTTTATGTTTGGTAAATATAGCCAACATTGAGATAGACTTTCTAAACTATGCTTATCGCTACTGTTTTGCAAATATGAGTGAGTGAATGAGTCTAGTTTTACGCGGCGGTCTGTAAATAATCGAGTCTGGACCAGAAAATCCAGTGATCAACAGCATCAGCATCGATCTGCGCAATTGGGAACCGATGACATGTGTCAACCAAGTCAGCGAGTTTGACCACCCGATCCCGTTAGTCGCCTCTTACGACAAGCATGGGTTACTGAAGATCAATATTCTAACCCGGACCTTCACGGGTATTTGCAAATATTAAGGTTCATGTCTTGGGCACATGTGTCAGAACGCCAACACAGGACAGAAGGATAAAGGTGATCCATCTCCGGCACAGGTTCCAAACAGCAGTGACCAGTGATCAGACCAGTCCAGTAAGTCGGCGTATCCATTCAGGGACAGTCAGGAACCCGTTACGTCATTACGGTATACGACCACATCGTATTGCCATATTGGTGCCATGGTCGTGGTTGAGGACTGTATATTTCAAACAGCTCACACTGAAAATGTGTCTACCGTCATGCTCAATTCGGTGTCATGTAGAAGAATCGGCTTAGTGGTCGTTCCGTGATAAGCTTGGTTTGGATAAGTGCACGTCAGAGAACCCCTTTAGTTGCTGTAAATTGGGCAGTTGGGCAGGTGTAGGCTACAGAGAAAGAACCAGTGATAATTTCGTTTCCCCATCGTCATGGCCCAGGATTGATAATGCCCGTGCTATTGCTTTTCTTCCACATCACAATATTTAAGTACTGCCCTGGACTGCACATCCACTGGATCTATCCCCTATATATCACGTGTCGGATGAAACAGAGCGACTTCTACAACGTATCCCAAATTCGTAAGACAACCTTTTAGATTTGGCAGCAGTTGTAGGGAGCAAGCCACTCTAGAAGCTATCATGTCCATTTGATGGGCTCTGTACGTCGGCAATAAACCGCTGTGTTATTGAGTTTGTGACACCTGCTCCGCCTCATGGACGTTTCACATGCATGTTCTGCAATCTTCATATGATCTTAATATCCCCTTGTTAAACCTTACATAGCAACTTTTCATCATTATTATATTTATAAATTTAGAAAAAAATTCTAACCAATGACAGTTTCTTGTTGTGCTTGGTCTATTTCCAATACACAAGCTCATTTTTCTCAGAAAAGTAATACCATAATATTAGTCTTTCAGATCTCCTGTATTTCCGACTGCGGTTCAAACAATGGTAGGAGTTTTAAACAGCATAATTTGATTTATAACTGTGTAACGTCTCACTTGAAAATGTCCAAATATTTCCCTAGGTTTTCAAAGAAGAATCCATTTTGTTTTCAGTGAGCCAAATGTGTTGATTTCCACGAAAGGTTTGAAAGTTACACCATATTGTAAGATGTGTAATTATAAAGATATATATAAGATGCTGCTGAAACTGTACAATTAGGACTTGTGTGAATGATACATGACTCCCATACATATATTTTCCCAAATGTCAACTTCACGTGTTTTATGGGTTCTCCATTGGATGAGAAGTCGATCACATGCGCTTGTTGCAGCAGAAAAGGGTGCTCAGTGAGAAAGGCTTTCAAAACCGACTTTCAAGAGGAGGCTCTTAACGGGTGATCATGAAGAGTTACTTAACGCAGGCGCAATACCCAAGAGAGGTAACTCCTGGGCATTACATAAACTACGTACCACTAATTACTGACGGTGACCGGACTCATTCTTGCCATCACACTTTTTTCAAAAGACGGTATTCTTGAAATGGCGTAAATATTGACGGACTACATCCACAATCCTAGCGAAACCCATATGAATTCCCTGGTAGGAATGAATACAGACGCATTGCTTCTGACCATTTAAACATTCAATCGTGGCCTGTATGTTTATGCACACATTGGAAATAGGTCTGGATATATGCCAGTTCTAGAATATCCTCGCTTTGACTGAACGAAACGAAGGAATGCACATCCATTCTTTAAACACTATCAGTGTCTAGACTGCTCAGAAGACTTAAAAACAACGTAAATGTTTACCTGATAAATTTCTATAACCACCTTTCGATCACATGATCAATTGATGACCAACAGCTACAGGTCCTTGAAGAGTCCGGACATATCTTACGTAATATTTATTACAAGTCATTTAGATTCCGTAGTTAGTTCTTAAAGCACGTGTTTTCATCTAATGATGGTTTTATTTGAATTTAGTTGGTTTTAATTTTTAGTCTGTCCTTTGAGCATGCTGAACAATTCAAATGTGTTCACATCAAAGGCTGGATCTGGTGGTGTATTGCTCGACATGGAGATAGAGCGGACTATTGCGAAACAGTCTTGTGGATATAGTTTGTCGCCCAGAATTGCAATACACAGATCTAAAAATTAATATGAATGATTTTACGCCGCTTTTAGCAATATCCAAGCAACATGACAGCCGGGGAACACTAAAAACGGGCTTCACACATTGTACCCATGTTGGGAATCGAACCCGCGTCTTCGGCGTGACGAGAGAAGGCTTTAACCACTAGGCAACACCACCGCCTCTCTAAATATACAGTATACAGTATGTAATATATATAATTTCACGACCTCACAAATATACAACATATGATAGACAACGCAACCTTATAAAAAACAACAACAACATATATTACTATCTTTAAGTTTAGCAACAATCATGACATTTATTATGCTCTTACAGAGATACGGCCATTGTGAATTTACTGTATATTATATAAATTCCCGAGTTCACACCGAAAGTTTAAAAAGTTAACAAAAAACAATATCAGCTGCATTCCTGATCATCTGATCCCTTAGCGTGCGAATAGGCACATAGAAGTCAATTAGAAATATTAGTTTGCCCGCCTCGATCATTTAGATGTCAAACGGCTGTAATAACATCTTGATAACATATTGATATTGATCAATAGCAGGTGCATGGCCTGTAGTATATCAATGTGACAGACTGCAATTAACTGTGTCACAGTGTCACTATCCTTCCTTCACCAGGGACATATCACCTCAATGCTGATTTCCTGAGAAATCTTCACCCACTGCAGCCATCGTTCAGGAAATGAGGGGGCGGTGGGGGAGCCTAATGGTTAAAGCGTTGGCTCGTCACGCCGAAGACCCGGGTTCGAATCCCCACATGGGTACAATGTGTGAAACCCATTTCTGGTGTCCCCCGCCGTGATGTAGCTGGAATATTGGTAAATGCGGCGTTAAACGAAACTCAGTCAGTCAGGAAATGAAATAACATAGATCAAAGGCTGCAACTTTAGAGAAACATGTTTTAACGGGACCTTTGTTTTAGCTAATAATTAACAAGTTTCTAGTATTAGTATGCAGACTTTTAGGAAGTTTCAGACAACGTCGCCACTGATGACGTCATGTGCAGATTCGAAAACATGTAGCAAGGGACGTAACACAGGAATGAATTAGGTTTTGGCACTCGAACTCCCCATTTCAGATTCTATAAAGTGAGTGAGGTAAGGCCGTAACTGTGCACAAAAATAATTTACGCCAACCACTGTCTTTGTCTGGAAAAGTATCTCTTAGATGTGTATGGAAACATTCATATAATATATTCAAAGGTTTCCGAGAAACATCGTTCTCATGTCAGCTAGGATGCACTGAGTTGCAAAACAAGGATCAAGGGCAATAACTCTGTAAGAAACGAACTTAACACACAAGTCATTGTAGACCGAGACCAGTAAAACTATTTTATATAATTACATTTCTTTAAATTCTGTGAAGCAAAACAATGACTTCTTTTCATCTAAACTTGTCAATTTAGGGAACGGGTAGCACATTATTGGTTAATAACAGAAAAGTGAACTAAGCTATATACATTATATGGATAGTTGTTTGCATATTTTAAGTGAAAATCTCCACAAAGGTCACAGGTGCGATCAGACTGTGAAGTGGTAGGCAGGTGACGTCCCGAAAAAGGCACGTACAGGGCAGCAAGATAACTTAGAAATGATGTCTCCTTCTGTTGATTCCGAGCATAAACAAAAACGTATCTTTGATGGAGATTGAATCTGTTCGCTCTTCGAGATCATGTCGCTTTCTTAACCTTTGCCAGACAGGGTCTGGAGACACCGAGTCTTTCACTCGCTGGAAATAGAAAATGAATGTGAACTCGCGTATGCTAACAGGCAGGTTTATTAGTTGCGTACCACTAGTGTAATGCGAAGTGACTGCATAAGAGCATCGATAGTTCGGACACGCTGGCATGATGTCCAAAACCTTGCCTTTGCCAGATCACCCTGGCTCAAAACACTGCAAAGGTGATGACTGGACAATTGCTTAAAACAGGCTGCAAGCTCAGTATACATATATTCCCAACAGTCCCCAGTATGATTACCAACTTCGGTTGCTAGCCATCTCTAGCCCCTTTTTATACTGCGTTTGGCAATGGGTAGTTTTTACAGATATGTGATTATCTAGTTGTGATAGTATCCTTCGATGAATTTCTATAAATTGTACATATATTTATTGTTAATACATGATTTTCTCTCGTCATGATATGGTAGAAATTTTGCCGATGTGAAGTAAAATGTTAACTCATTCACTCAATGTATATATTCCACAATTTATTATCAGTGACATGTGTTTTAAGTAGCAAAGAATACCTCGAACAGAGATCCTTTTCTTCTGAGTCTTGTCACCACCATGGTTACAGGAATAGGGACAACTGACACCAGGGCAATACACCATCCGGCGACCACAGCATATCCGGAGTACTTATAGTACCGGTATGTTGGATTCTCGTACGAAGCCATAGTGAGAACAAGCACCATCTTAAATGACAGTAAAACAATCATTATTGTTTTCCATTTTACTCACAAAGTTAATGTAGCATTTATTCAGAGTATTTTAACATTTTCCTTCCATTGTTGGTACGGGTCTCTCTCACTTCATCTCAAATCTAAAATAGACAAAATTGTTAACACTGCAAGTAAAATCGCTGGAGTCAGATTTAAATGTTTATCATCAATATATGAGCGGCAAATCGTGAATCAAGCTGTCAAAATCATATCTGACCGTACTCATTACTTAAATTCGGAATACAACTTCCTCCCTTCAGGCCGCCGCTACAAAGTTCCAATTGTGAAAACTAAGAGAGCCCGTACATCCTTTATTCCAAGTACCATATCTCTCTTAAACCAATGTGAAGATACCTAAATCAAAGAATTTATGTAAATATGTTTGGTATCTCTCTAATGTGTCAGTAGCTCTGCTGATGTAACACAAATTCCTGAAAAGGCATTAAAATATTATTCTATTCTTCTATTCTAAAGAAAGGAGGCTTTCATTGAGAAATATGACTTTTGAATGAATATTAAACGCCAAAAATTCTGTTTGCCATCGTCACTCATTTTTTATGACATCACGTTTTTTACATGACGCCAGGTGAACAATAGTCAAGAACAAAATCACATTTATCACAGAACACATTTTATAATTTATAGTATATAGTAGACCTAGAGAGTTCGCGAGCATATGGAAATGTCTCTTGTTACATATGTATGTTAGACGTATGTGTTACTGTTGACTTCATATGCAATATATCCGTTCATGTAACCGTTGCCGTAATATTTCTGTCCATTATAATTAATTCTCAATTGTTTACGTTCGTGAGTTTTCATTTTTTGTGCTCATGTTTTGTGACGCGAAGACATGAAAAACATACATGATTCTTTATGTGGGTATAATTTGCTAGGGAAAACAGGCCAAACTTTACCGCAAACATCTGGAATCATCACTCCTTTTCATTATTCCATTCATATAATGTTCACCACTAGTGTACTTTTAACGCTAAAAGGAAACTGTTTCAGCGGATGGTAGGAATGCTTACTGTTGCGATATACTTTGACATATGTAATGGTGTTTGAAGAAAATCGTTTTTGTTGTCAATACCAATGCCACTGACCTCAAAGAAAATTAATATACAAGTAAAATTGTGAGCAACGTTTAGCTTACGTTACCCTTATCATACAGGTGTTAAAAGCCGAATACTAACATGGTAAAAGGAAAACTAATCCAGTGCCAATATTTTGTAACGAGTAGATGGTATTGTTACCAGCAAGGCCGCAGAAATGAAGATAAAACACACGAGCATGTAGATGGCTGGCAGTGGTCTGCCTGTCATGGCTTCTACATCAGAAGAGAAGCGCTCAGCTCCTGAAGATGTACAATTATCATATCATCATCATCATCATCATATATTTGTTTTGTGTTTGAGTCGGTCTCATGACGTCCTTTACATACAAGAGTCAACGCCTGACAAACCAGTAATATTGTGAACAACGTTACACATTGTGAAGGACAATGAGACATATTCAAGCAAGTCACCAAGACAGTTTTTCAATCGCGTCAAGCACTTCTGTTGGGAAGACGATGACTAGTTATATGGTACTTTATTACACACACACACACCTACGCCTACTTTTAGTTGTTGGCGATCAATAGCCCATTTTTTCATTGTATTGTCCAAAATAGTTTTCTACTTTTAACGATCTATGTACACCCTTTCTGGTCACTATATGGCTGAAATATTGTCGAGGTGACGTTAAATTTTAATTCACTCACTCATTGATGCCCTTTGCCATCCCGGCCTGGAAAATGTATTGTGTTTTTAGTTTAGTACAAAAACATTACCGTTCTCTTCATTCGAAGGTTATCCGAACAAGGATGTCGCAGTTCCTGTTCATTTATCATCTCTGCTCTATGTGTGGTGTTTAAGACGATTATAACCGAAACAATGATCGTTTCAATTTTCATATTTGACTATATAACATCACATTTTGAAACAAAAGTTCAGCTGTAAAATTAACTAAAGACATGAAGACAGAAAATGACATTGATGGAAAAATGGACTCACCGTATAACCAGCCAACGGCGATACACTGAAGTACCGCAGTGACAAACAAGACGACTGCCACAACATACCAATCAATCAACGTAAACAGGTACACGCCACCCTAAAATATACAGCAGGCAATATGATTATCATTCAACAATGGAAGAAAAATTATCTTTTATAGTAAAGTAATGTAATTGTATATCAGTGGGTGAATGAGTATGTTTTGCGCAGCTTTTAGCAATATTCCAGCAATATCACGGCAGGCGACACTAAAAAAAGGCTTCACACATTGTACCCACGTGGGGAACCGAACCCGGTCTTCGGCGTGACCAGCGAACGCTTTAATTACTAGACTACCCCAGCGCCACATTTGTATATGGAAATATCACAATTTAATGTAAAACAAGACTCACTCGAGTGGTAAAGATGAGCCCCACCAAAAACGTTGCTCCCATGAACGCAACCGCCATGACGGGCTGCATGTACTTGAAATGAAACCGCTCTGGCAGAAGTTCTTTTATGCATCTGAGAGCTGATTCAGCATTTGCGAACTATCATTAACAGAAAACGCGAATCAGTAACAGAAACAAGATATTGCAAATTGTGAACAAACATTTCACATTAAATGTTATACAAGGCACGAGGCTTATTATTTATAAGTCAAAGTAAGTTTGAATCAACAAAAAGCATACCGTTTCATTCATCCACAACTTTCGAAGTTGATAAAACTTGTTCATTCTGTCACTTGTAATATAACAGTGTTGATGTAACTCCGTAATGCGACTTTAAAAAACACAAAGTCTTTGATCAGACATCAGAAATCTTAACATGGTAGTGACTAATATTTTATCTATACCCAAAACATATCGTCAAGTGTTGATTGCAGAAAGGATGAACCTTTCCTAACGGTGGTAACATGTAGTACTCACGCTGTAACATGTATTTGAAATACACTTCAGGAATTCTTTTACATAGGTTTGTTAAAAAATGCGCTGAATTTGGGAATTTCATCCTTCGTGGAAAAACTGAACACAAGTAGTGGAGACTAATTTTCTTCAAACATCTCTTGATTGAATATCTCGTTTTGAAATCTTTGTAGTAGGGGAATACTTAACTATACCTCATAAGCCTGGAGTAAATGGATGACCGCTCCATATCGGTTGAAACTATTCTTTTTGTAATGCAGTCTTGTGGTTAGTTTGTTACACTCGACATCTTTATCCATAGGTACGTAAGTCCCAAAACATTTCGTCAATTTAAGTGTACCAGGTTTTTAGTCGTAGTATTTTTGCGTTTTTAATGTATGGCTAAATCTCAGTATAAACGCCAATGGCTGAAGGGATGGTGTAAATCCAGCTAGGGACCATGCAGGTAGCAAAGGCACTGTAAGTCCCCATGGTTCCTAGTATGGTGATCTACCTTCAGTTGTTGGCGATCTATAGCCCGTTTTTATATTGTATTTTCTTCTCACATAAAATAGTTTTACATGTTCATGCTATTTTTAGACTCCATCTGTGATACTCTAGTTATTTTACAGTCCTTCGATGACTGATTATTTAGCAACTTAAATTTATTGTTTATGTAAAACATGTCTCGTCACTATATGGCTGAAATATTGCCGAAGTGACGTTAAATTTTACCTCACTCACTCACTCTTTATCCATAGATAGCAACATGACTTGACGGCTATATAAATCGTTTTGAATGTCCCAATTTCAGATTCATATGCACCGAAGCAAATAATATTTGATAATGTGAAATCGTCTTAGTCATTAATATTGAAATTGAGTTACCACAGAGTCTATCACCATCATCAACGTTGTTACAAAGAAGAGGACCGACCATAGCTGAGGCACTGGAAGAAGTGCAACTGCTTCTGGATATATGATAAATCCAATGCCAGGTCCTGAAAGAAGGATATTTCGTTGGCATAGACCTGAGTAAGTTACGAAATGTTCCAACGTCCAATGATCCTTCAAACTAACAACAGAACATTCAAGTAATATTTTAAACACTAGGCATACGCGAATTCAAGGAAGTGTTATGTGTTTCCAGATCATGTTACTCTTGAATTCCCCTGAACATAAAATGTTCGTTTATTTTTAAACTTAATCCACATTAGCACCACAGCACACATCGTGCAGCATGTAAATTGGATACAAAAATTGGTTTCCATGAAAGACAATCACTTGCATTGATACCCATGTTGAATGGCTCTTGTCACAAACATGAGGCATTTGTGATCATATTCTGACCCAGACTCAAGAGAGGGGCTCCTGAATAATGCACTGTGGTCGTTATAAACAAACGAATATTGATATAACACACATCCAATGCTGTAGTTACAAATCACTTGCACTCATACGTATATGCCTAGAGATGCCAGAGGATCGCTATTGAAGAGATGCAGCATTGCTCTCGAGGCTTTTATGTAGAAACCAATGGTGATACATTACATGTTTCATTCAGTTTCTTTACACCCATATACATGTTCTAGACTTACAGGGAAACTGTTGTTAGCACTGACCTTTCAAATGCACATGCAGATTGGAATTAACTGAAGAAAGAGCTGTCTGCATATATACTCAACCCACTATTGAAGGATCTGGGATATGGGTTGAAACCGTCCTGTTCAAAGAGGATACAAACCAACGCCTAGTAGTTCGAGACTAATAACAAAAAGGCAAATATTCATGGAAAACATATGCGACCAACGATAAACGGTCCAGGAGCAGGCAAACATTGATAAAAGTTTCACACATCTATGACTTCATGGTTAACCAAATACATCCTAATACCTAATTCGCATTATCTGAACGAGCAATGTGCGGTCAGGACACATTGTTTTGAACCTCATTAACAGTAACAGAAAGCAAGAAGCATTTAATAATGATTTCTACGTGTTGTACGTCGAGAGCGAGGTGGAAAAAGGTTGTCGTTATGGTCAACGTCACTATATGATAGAAAAACACTCATGCGGGGGGATGGAACATCAAACGTCAGTTCTGTCGTTACTAATCTTACGCTGAGTAAGTGCTGAAACTAAACAGGGTGGGTCCACACGATGCGGACTCTACAGTTAACATGCATCAAATAATATGAATCTTTTTTCATTTGGAATGAATTTGCAACCGAAACGCAATGTATTTCGCACAACGCGCTTGTCCTCATACTTCTTGGGAAAAAAATTCAGGGAGATTTGAGATATGTGACAACAAACACATGCCGGAATTAAGCATGAGGGAACAGATCATAGGAAGAGCATTGAGACACAGGGGCTTGCATTGCTGAAAATAATACGTCCTAGGTCCAACACTCGTTTCCTGATAGCCATCTACATATAAACAAGTATACAAGAGTGTTATTCACTACCTGATGTGACGACGTCATCAATGGGTTGCCGAAGACTGTGAGCCAGGTACCCAACAGTTGAAAAGACCACGAATCCAGCAAACACACTAGTGAAGCTTCCAGCTACTGTTACCACGATTGTTGTCCTGTTACAAGATAATTTATATGGATACATAATATATCTATGCAATCATTTGAGGTCTGAATCAAGACAACGTTGAACAGGTAGATACGATGGCCAATAATTTCGCATGACGTTAAAAAAAAACAATTTAGAACGATCTAGTGTACAATTCCTGTTCACTTGAAAACATTGTGAGTGAGTGAGTCTAGTTTTACGCCGCACTCAGCAATATTCCAGCTATATGCGGAGGTCTGTAAATAACATCGACCTACGCAATTGGAATGCGATGACATGTGTCAACCAAGTCAGCGAACCTGACCACCCGATCCCTTTATTCGCCTCTTACGACAAGCATTACTGGTGGTCAATTCTAACCCGGATCAAAACATCGTAATTGTTTAAGCTTGCTAAACTTCGTGTACGTCATGTGACAACGAAAATAAGTAATTAAGTAGTGGTGCTGTATACTGACTCAGCATTTACCCGTTGTGTTAGAGGCTGTGTTGACGTGTTTATCATATGTATTGTTATACATCAGACAAATCCTGCTGACCAGGCAAACACTGTGCAGGTGAACAGTATTGTATTAACTACACCACTGGTGATAAGAAATATAGATCAGTCTCATTTTGAAAGTGTAACTTACTATTTGAAGAGGAATACCTTATTATGCTGCTGTGGAACGGGTTGTGGCTTGAGAGTGTTATCAAGGTGCCCCATGACGGACCCATTGAGAAGAACACTTGTATCAGAGCTTCCAGCCACACCTAGAAGTATGACAAAGACGTACATTTTAATTAGAAAGTTGATATTCTGGCGCTTCAATAAAATAATAATGTGGGAGAAATTATAAACCGAAAATAGAAAGTTCTGACACCTGAGAGAGAGACCATTTCCAACATTATTGTTGTCAGCATGTAATGTATTAATGTCAGGATAGTCAGATACAAGGGTAAAATCTGTGGTTGTTTTGCGGAACAAAAGTATGTTGTGATTACTTTGTATATTAGTTGTACAAAGCATAATTCAAAACCTAAAGATATTTACGTCGGCATAATCTTTCAATAAATTTTGTTTTATAAATCATCCATGGTAATAAGTGTAAGAATCGATATAATAAAGAATACTTTTCCGAGATGCGTCGAGCTCGTCAAAATATGACCAATAAAGTAGATTAACATTGCCGACCTAAAGAGACCGTCAGCCGTCCATCTGCCTTTAAGAGCAGACAGGATGTGGGATCCGTAAGACAGCAGGGGAACCGGAAGACAAGAGGAAGAGCACTGACAGACAAGAAGAGGGGCAAGCCAGGGACAAGGAGGGACGATCACTGACCAGCCAATTCTGCCCATATACTGACCAAGTGTCAGCCTTACTTCGCCGGCCTTTCCCTGGCTGTCGGACTCTGTAAACTCGACATACCTCAAATAGTTGTACTGCGAGAATAAAAACACCCATTCAGAGTGCCAGAGATGTTACAACAGAGTTCATCATACCTGAGAGTGTTTAAGACGTGCAAAGTCGGGCGTCAGATAGAATAAAATTCCATCCCTTGCACCAGGCATCGTGCATGCCCGGACCAACAACACCGTCAGAAGAACGTAAGGCATCAACGCCGTCACATACACCACCTGTAAGAAAAACAGTATTGTCTCTATATTGGTGTATAGAATGTGCCCTCATTATAGCGAACACATATATGATGCTCTACAACAAACTTAAGGTAGTCCTTTGAGCTACACTTGAATAGATCCTAAAGATGTATGCTGGTAATGAGAAGCGGTGACACATAGGATCAAAGATGTTGTGTATTTGTTGTTCAACGCCGCACTTAGCAATATTCCAGCTATATGGCGGTGGTCTGTAAATTGTAAAGTCTGGACCAGGAATTCCAGTGATCAACGGCACGAGCATCGATCTGTGCATCTCGGATACGATGACAATCAGGTCAAAGAATCTGATGGCCACCTGATCATGTTGGTTGCCTTTTTCAGAGAAGCATGGGTTGCTGAAGATTCTGACCTGGACATTCACGAGTACATCACAGTCAATATAACTATATACAAGAGATAACTTCCCATTTTGTGAAACCGATTTGGAAAGTGTTTTAATTAATAGCATTGCATCAATGTTGCTGCACGTTACAAATGCATAATAAATGGAATTAGCAGCAAATGCATTTTTGCGAGACTATTTTTGTAGACGTTTTACCGACATGTGCTTAAGATACCCAACATATCTTAAGACTATTTATCTTACTTTCAGGGGAAACTGTGCACACAATGAAGGGCTTTCCAATATGCCAACATGAACTATTGCGTTAAAACGCTTCAGTAAATACCTTATTTCTCACGTAGGCAGGGAGATTAAATTATAAGACTTAAGTCTTTTTTTTAAAAACAGTTATAGGCTCTTAATGTTAACCTATGCATCATCTGTTGGTGTTTGATCTCGAACTTCTCTATGGACAACGATGCCTGCTCCCTGTTCATCCACCGGAATTCTTTGAGGAAATACAGTGTAATTATGTAACTGGTAATCCTCTAGTGCTTTCAGTTCCAAGTGAAGTTTAAAATTTATCAATTCGGTCTTACATTAATGTAATTTTCAAAACACAGGTTTATTTTGAAGATATGATCAACATCACCTGAAAGAGATTGAGACTGATACATTAATTAATTATTAATATGGATAGACAGTACTTTTCCGACCTTTTCCTATACCAACCGTACGAAAGGATTGAAAAAGTACAAACCAACTTCCTGAAACGTTTTTGGGCCTGCCTAAAGCTACAAGTAATGCTGCCGTTTTGGGAGAAACTGGACGTCATCGGATTAACAGTCATCTCATCTTCAAATGTATTAAATACTGGACTTAACCGATTACCAAAACAAACCTATCTTATGCTCTGTGGGCTGGACGTAAATCATGGACTTAAACTTATATCAAAAACATTCTCTTTCAATACGGCTTTGGATATACATGGGTAATCCAGGATGTGGGGGACTCAGGATTATTTCTATCAGATTTCAAACAGTGCATTCAGGATTGTGGATCTCAACAATGGCATAATGACGTTCTCCAGAAACCCAAATTAATAACATATTCTACTTTCAAAACAACTTTAACCATGGAACCTTATTTCAACTGTATAAACGATAAACCCTTTTTACAAACTCTCATCAGATTTCGCTGTAGCTGTCACCAACAGGAAGACATCACAATAAAGACGAAGAGGAAAGTACGTGTTTCTACGGTGCAAAATCAGGATTAATCGATATAGAAAATGAATATCACCTTGTAATGATTTGTAACGCTTATTCACCATTGAGGATTAGATATTTAGGTAGTTATTATTATAAAAATCGAACATGTTTTAAATGTATAAATCTTATGTCAACGCAATGTAAATCTACCCTGTGTCAATAAAAGTTTATACTTTTTTGCGTTAAAGAACAGAATGTTACTTAAATCTGCGTGATATATATCATGTTAGTCCTGCATTCATTATATGTTCTATAGATTGTATGTTTATTGGGCCTGTGGCCTTTCAAAACTTTATGAATAAATACAATACAGTACTTTTCCGACAGATCCAACTCCTTTAATGATGCAGAGCAATACAACCAGACAGGTAAGGAACCAACAAAGAACCAGATGGGGTTGTACAGGCCCAAGGTCGTCGACCCCAGAGGAGATGCCCAGAACACGGTATCTGCAACATATGAATTGTTAACTCTGCGAGTGCATTGTAACTGTCCGAGGCCGATGACAAATTAGCATTTTGCAAGTTAAAACACCCCACTATCGATAGTATGAATATATTTGATAACATTATCAAATATTGTTCATCATATTGGTGGCTTAGTGGTTTAACGCCCAGTAATTTAATCTGCACATAAATGGCCCGAGGGCGTGGCAGGGTCCTATGATTCTAGGTTCAATCAAATTGTCTCTAACTGACGATACAGAAACATCTTGAAATATCTTGTTTTATGCAGATGCTGTCTTTCACTGGAAGCTGTTTAGGATGTCACGAAGAGAACTTTGCGAGTATTCCAACAGTTCGACTTGCGATATACACGAGCCTGTACAAGTGCAAACAGGTAGAGCAAAACTGAAGTTCCCAAACCCTCATTTGCACTGTGATATTGATACATTTACGGTACCTATTTGAATGAAAATTTGAATGATTGTTCGAAACACTATGCACTACTTATAGAAAAGTCAAGTTTAATGTTTGCCAGACCTTACCAAAAATGCCATCCAAAATCACTGGGGGTCGTCACATCTACTGTAATACTTGTAATGTGTTCCCTATTCGTTCGCTATGATCATGCAGCTATGATTGAATGTAATGTCTCTTACAATTTTGGTTACGTGCATGTTTGTATGACGGGTGAGGTGAATGCTTGCTGAATGCAGGCACTAGCTTATAGGGTAAAGAGCATAATAGTGCGCCAATTGGTCACATTAAAGGATTGATCAAATGGGAATGATTGTTCCCGTTGACAAACCAAATGCAAATGAATTTGAATTTCCGAACAACCTGAATGAAGAACGTTGTATATAAACACAGCCTACATTAGTTGTGGGAGGACGCTTGTCGTGAATATTTACATCGTTGGTTAACATAACGTGGATACATTTGTGGATGAATAATAATGAGTCTACGCATGTAATTCGAACCGTTGATCATCGGATTCTGAAATGACTAACACGCACAAATCTTGCAGCTTGGATATCCAGACCATGGGATTTATGAAAGCTGGGGATATCATGAAACAAAATAGTGAAATATGACGAGAGCTAGCTACATTATTCAACCAGATGTATGTGGTCCTAGAACAATGACCTTGGAAAGATACTTGTAATGTTAAAAAGGTGACCAGTTTAAGGTAATGTTTGCAGTTTGCTGTTCAACGTAAATACAGTTAGCTGAGCTGGGAAACTGAACAGAGTCTGGATGGTTAATGGGGAGATTTTGCCAAAACCTACTGCCAGAATTCCTCAGTGGACGTGTGACCAAAGACACTTGCTATGTCTGTAGACGTATTCCCGCTCTCCGCTCGGTGAGTGACTTGTTCCAGAGACACATTCGGGGGAATGGAGAGACGCGTCTCCCTTGAAGAAACGCACTGTGGTGTGTTCCATGTATTATCGCAATTTGTCCAGGGCAGTACCGTGGAGAAGGAGCTGTATATGTAGTAGAGAACCCAAGCAAACACCATACTGAAGTATGGCACGACAAGACAGCCGAGAGTCAGAATGCCATAACCGATACCTGTCACACAAAAAATAGAAAGAAAAACAAATGTGCAGCTTATTGTTTTTGCTCTGAAACATGTATAATTTTAATTCAATATTCACTCGTTTATCTAGGATACTGGAGAGGATATTTTTGAAATCATTGTATTCTCTCTAAAAATTAAAAAAGAAAAATCATTTTTACCGTCAGAGGTGTAGGTTTAAATCCTTGAGTTATCTTAGATACTTCGGGAAATGGATTCTTATCAAATTGGGATCAGGTAGTAAGAATCTTTGAATAAGATAATTGCTAAATTATCGTTTGATAGGGCAACGTTGTGTTGTTTTATTGAAGGTAATCAGTAATCGTTTGTGTTAATTACGATTCTTTGTGGGTGCTTTAATTTTGCATTCTGTTCCGATGAAAATTACCTGTCATGATTGGACACAACGACCACACCTTTATTGGTCCTCGAGCAGAAAACTGACCAAGTGCAACTTCGAGGAAAAATAGCGGCATTGAGAGAAATAACACGAAGATAATATATGGGATCAGGAATGCACCTGAAAACAAATAGGTTCAAAAGCATACAAAATCATCAGCCATGACCAATCGATCAAATGAAAACCGATTATGTTGTAAAAACATTTGATGAAAACCTCCTTACTCGTAATGATCGTGAGCAGTTTTTCTCTGGTGTTCAACTTAATCTTACCTCCTCCATTTCTTTGGCAAACATAGGGGAATCTCCATAGATTGCCCATTCCAACACTGAATCCTAGCATAGCCAAGGTACTCTGGAACTGGTTGGACCATTTTGAGTTATCTTCATGGGGTTCTTCAGTGTCTTGTATCTGGAATACACAGTTAAGTATAATTAGACGGTGAACGTCAACAAGGACGTCTAGCCAATATGTTGGCGCCGTTGTAGAAGACATTTAGGTCTTACAGATCGCCGCCATATAGCTGTAATATTGCTGAATGCGGCCAACGTATAAACAAGCACTGGTTTGGATTCAGTATTTCAGCAGGCCGCCAATAAGTGACGTACGTGGTGCTGACTATGGCAGGTGATGACATGTATACAATCCATCTCTCAGAAATCCAAACTGGTCCTAATCTAATATAAAGGGAATGTCTGCATGAAGGTATTCCTTGGTTTGAGAAAGTGGTAAATGGACGGGTCATAGTTGAACTTCCTCAGACATTTACTGACATCCCGTGAATACATGAACTTCTACGAGTAGTATGAATATAGATATCATGTTGTTGACAGAGACATAGTTACGTCACAGAGTAAACCATTTCAATAACTTCCTCAAAACGTATTATATTCAAACGACCTAATTGTTTCAATATGTCTCACAAGTAAACCGAAATTCTATCTCCTTTGTCTGTCTGTATTCAGCAAACATTCGATGTATCCCCTCTTATCATAACCTCCCTCCGGGCAGGACCCTTGTCAGTAGATGTAAATTAGGACCTCCCAAACGTCGGCGGCTCTTACATATGTACATGTGCATAGGTCAGTGAACTTGCACAACGTGGCGTAATGTCCCTATGTATATAACCCGACTGACATGATCAGTCAGAGAGACGGTCTCCAGTCTAGGAGACGGGCCCAGATCATCTAAAAAGCGTGTAATTGACAGAGCGGGTGTCCGCACCAGGAACATGGGCGACTCTGTCCCTGTCTGCGTTCTGTTACGTGTAAACCATCAACATGTACCATTTCGACTATCATTCCCCAACCATATTAAACATGGCTGCTGTCATCATCAACTCTACTGCTGATATGACTTCTGTCTTCCGTCCATCAACCATCCTGACCTACCGCCCGAGAGCATCCCCAACAAACGCTCGTGGGCACATGTACATACGTAAGAAATGGTTAACTCTATGACAACAATATAACCCTAGCTCTGTTGGTACACCGTTATAACAGTGATCACTTCCTATGGTGTCTTACCTTTTGAATTTCGTCATCTCCCGTTATCTTGGTCTCAATGTCTTGTACGTTCAAATTAGTCATACTTGAAACATCCAAATACCTGCCACACAAATACGGACTTCAAGAACATGTATTATATATTGATTTAATTCGACTAAATTAAGAGTTGCAGAGCATATGACAAGACTTCTTCACATTCTTAACAAGTCAACTTCAGGCTAACTTCAGAAAACTGTTACATGAAAACATTGAAATAATACAGTTTGTTATCCCGACGGCAGAACACACAACAAACCCATTTTGACATAGATCTTATAAGGACTCTCTGTGATAGTGTGTAGGTATGGTTTCATGCCGCTATTAGCAATAAGAATTTGGCATCATACATTGTACCAATATGGGGAATCGAAAACGGATCTTAGGCATCACGAACGAATGCTTTAACCACTAGGCTTCCCGAAAAGTGTAATTTAACGCGCTTATTTAAGTTTTCAGTTGATACTACAGCTCAGCACCATATGTATAGAACATTCAACAGTGTAACTGCACCCCCCAAAAAAACAAAAGGACAAAAAACAAACAAACAAACAAAAAACAACACAGAACAACCCCACAAACCGAATGCTGGCGGATGTGAAAGATATTACTGACAGTAAGACAGTTCACTAGCGAAATCTAGGGGCGAGACCAGGTGACGTTTCACTTACTATTGTCTGTGCCCTTTTCAAATTTTGCCGCTGATAGTTACAGCCAATGAAGACTTGGAACAGTATCCCGCCAACTAATGCTGATCAAATTGTCTGCTCAGGCTCGATGACTTGGTTCACTGCGGGATGACGTTGTTGGTCGTTACTCACACTATCAGTTTTTAGGTTGCCTGTCGTTTATGTACTAGTCGATGTCATATCGATAGAAAAGGGCTGCCTGTAACAAGTACAATTTATGAAAACATTAGTGCGGCACCGAGTCATAAAGAATCCAAACCATACATGTATTTTCACTTCACATTCCAACATTTGTGATATATAAATACACGATTCACGAAACGACTTATAACATACACACGCACGGACTTGTAATTGCGGCTATTATATTACTAACATTCGTAGCTATAGGCAGTCCATATGATTTACAAAGAGAGATTTAAAGGATGTAAATAGGAAACAATGATGCAATAATGACTTACAAATCTCAATATACACAAAGAATTAAGTTGGGCAACCTTTCAAATAATTCAGGATGCAAGTTCATCTTGTGATAAAAATACAGGTTTCAGTTCAGTTAAACACCCCCCACCTCACCACCCCCCACCCCGACAGATATTAAATCTCTGGAACTGTCACGTTTTTAGCAAAAAGGTGAAAAAAACTATGGTACTTGTGGCATTAGCATGACTGTCCTCAAAACCATTCGGGTGAGAACTTGAATATTCTCATGTATTTTTTTAGCAAAGTTGTTCGCAAATATCGATTAACACGATATATTAAGGAACTGGCAATGATAAGGTATCCCCGAAATACCATTAAACGGGAAGATAGGAATCTGACAAATTACTGACGACGGTAAATTCCTAAGGCACGTTATCCATGTGTGGACAGACAGACACAATGCCTATAAACCAAGGAATATGGCTCCCTCTCTCCCGTATGATAGAGGCTCTCTCGTGGTAAAGGGAGCCATGACTGAATATTGACACAGTAACAGTACACGTCTTCTTCAACGGCAATGGCTGTATCCAAAACATCGTTACTCCAGTTGTTGTTAAGCGAATGTGACAACCATGCACTTGCATCTCGAGCTAAATATGGAGAGGACAAACAACTGGTTCAATCGCTCCCGTGTTGTAACATTGTTTCTGCAGCCTAACGCCACCGCTCATTTGCCGTGACCTGCAATTGGCCCTGTCCTGAATCCTCTAGAACACGTTTGATACATGACTGGACATCGTGCGCAGCTTTACGGGCTGCGATGGGCGTGCTGGAGAAACCCCTTGATCGTATCAGGCGTATCAATGAGCGAATAAAAGATAAGGCTGTACAGGCTGTTATCCTGTCATTCTGAGTTTGACATCCACATTATTATTTCTATGTATTTATCTCTATCTGACCATACGCAAATGAATGTGTTAGGTCCCGTGATGGTCAATTTCAAGAACTCGTGTAAATCTCAAGATCCTTAATTCCAGCTGGTTTAAATCTTTACTCAAATACAACACTTGGACACTACAATGCAAAACTATTGAACATTATTCATCACTATCGGTTCTCACAAACTCTTCACGTGATGTATCACACAAGAAATACAAATGGCTTGGTAAAACGAAAAGGGATGAATTTGGGATTCGTAGCTGATCAACAGCTACGCTACAAGGAGAATGTGGCATTCGTAACCTGACAACAGCTACGCTACCCAACTGTGGGGTGCTATTGGGAATTTGGTCACCTTCACTATAGGCTATATTTGAATATAATGAGGTGAGGTGAAATGGGATTTAACGTCGTACTTAAGAATATTTCGTTCATATGCGTGTGTCAATGTGCGGTTGCTTATCATGCTACTGTAGTCCAGACTTAAGCTGGTTTTATAATGCTAAGCCTCACTGAGATACCACGGATGACTGCAGTCGGGAACGGTTGTTCCCACAGAAAGCACCCCACAACATGCAACTTCCTCCCCGAATCTGTCGACTTCCTGTACAACATTGGGCATACCGTTCACGACGTCGTCCCCAGACTCTATGCCTGCCGTCCGCGAATCTGAGGGTAAACCTGGATTCATCGCTAAAGACGACTCGATTCCAGTCTCTCTGGGTCCATCGGAGGTGACGTTGGGCCCACAGCAGACGTTGACGTTGATGAAACGGCGTCAATATTGGCCCACGATATGGACGTCGCGAATGGAGATTGGCAGCCCGCAACCGATTTCGAATGGTCTGTGAGGACAGTCGACCTCTAAACATCTCAGCCCTGGTTCGTGTAGCCGGCAGAAATCTGTCACGTAGGTGACGTAGGACGATTTGACGGTCTTCTGCTCGTGACGTCACACGTGGACGACCCGACCTTGGGATATCAGAAGTGGTGCCAGTTTGTTGTAGACGACCTCGCAAGTCATACACAGTACGACGGCTGCATCCCATTGCCCCTTGCGACGTCAATAACTGATCTTCCCGCTTTGCAACATGCCAACGGCACGTTCACGCTGCACATTTGACAATCGTGGCATTTCAAGTACCGTTAGAACTGTGGTTTAAAAGTGTTTTTCAATTCTTGAGGCCAATGCAAAACACGTGCATATGAAGGAAACTTCGATGCGAAGATCACGTGATCGACTGCATGTGCAAAACCTGATTTGGCACTGTCGCCGTCATCAACATCGAGGAATGGCCATAGGAGTTGGTTTTGCTAAACGTTTTTCTAGATCGATCCCATTTCGGATCATGTGTTTGGAAATGATATATATTTATATATTTCAAGAACGCCTGATGACGTCGTTGAAGCAAAACTAGAAGTAACGATGGGCCGGATGTTTTACTCCCTCAATAGGTTTTTGCAATCAAACAAGAATTATCCCAAGTGTTACAGTGGCATAGATTCCACAGAGCATTCCATAGATGAACCAACCTAATATTTTTGTTATATTCACATGACTTCACATGTGGCAAATCGTACGTGTTTCCCTGTTGTGGATAAATTCTCCAAAGAAATGGTATTTTGTTTCAGTTAATCGCAACGTATTGCGTCATTCACTAGCAGGCGCGTTGACACTGATTTTGAGCAAGCAGGGCTACTGTGTGACCGTTTAAGAGAGAATATTGCTTATGATTATCTCACAGTTGATTGTGCTCTGTTCAGATTCCAATACTATTGTGAATATTATGCTCCCAACAAACAGGCCAACGTCCAAATTGTGCACATTGCATGAACATGCACGAGCAAATTATGAATCATGACATTGAAGTCAAGGAGATTTCCTCATAATCATATTGCATTATCTAATTTCAGAATATATGCATGTTTATTGGACGTTCTACAGAGCACAGGTACCATTTCTGTAAACTGACAGGCTTGTTAGGAACTCCCCAAAAACCTACTCCAGTTACAAAATGTTGGCCTTCGCTTTGTGTGAAAAAATGCGCGTTTTAGACAGTGGCATAATAGATCAATCATTGGGGTTTGAAATATTTTGTAATCAATGCAGTCGTGATGTTGATGTTGTGTAATACGGTAGTACTGTCAGCACTTGTTTGTAAAACGATAATATATCAACTTAAAAATGTTATCCAACAGGTTACATGGAACACAGACATGCGTGACACTCCTGCTTGAAGACAAATTCATGGAAACCTGTAGGAAGATCACGGAACATCGCTGGCGATGATTGCAATATATGTAAGTATGCCTACCTCTAGACTAACAACTAGTCTCTGAAATGAACATATTTTACACATGAAACAGTCCATAATAAAAAATAATAAGATATATCATTTTCAGAAACTGTGGAAATCTAGACTTGCGACATATTCTAGATTTGCATGGGCTTTCTTGGATATATTTGTTTCAGGGTCTGTATGACAGACTAGCCTACCACTGTCAATGTTGATTTTATGTTGAAGCCTTTTACGAATATATTCATATTCTGTTACACTGTAAACACGTTTAGAAAAATACATCTATATAATGATATCAAACGAAAATATTTAAACTCATAAGGCTTTACATGTACTTTATCACCAAAGCTATAAATGTACTCAGCGCCGTCAGTTTCTGTCACAAAGGATTGAGCCACAGCCAACATTGTAGCAGAGGATAGACAAATATACTCGCTTTCTTCGGAACCCACGTGTCCCACTTTGGCCATTCACTTACCGCCTTCGTGTCATTTAGCTTCAAGGCTAATCCCTTATTCTCCGGCATCGTGAAACGCGGAAGAATTCCCTCTGCAAAAACGTGTCTGCTACTGTTATCCGAGAAGACGCATTGTCAAACGTGTAGATGTCAAATCACGGCTCTGTGCGAGACGGGCCTCATAAAAAGAAGGCGCTTTAAAGCATCAAGATACATCATTCGTAGCTGTTCCAAGCTTGCTGGGGCGGTAGGATAGCCTAGTGGGTAAAGCGTCCGTTCTTCACGTTGAAGTCCCGAGTTCGATTCCCCACATGGGTACAATGTGTGAAGACCATTTCTGGTGTCCCCCGCCGTGATATTGATCGAAAATTGCTAAAGCGGCGTAAAATCATACTCACTCACTCCAAGCTTGCTCCAACGTTACACAACCCTATTGACAAGTACAATTTACGTCACTGATAAGAGAATATGCAGCCCCGATATTGTGACAGCGGCTACATATCCAAGTGTGGGTACATATACACCCAAATACACGTTTTAGTTGGATAGACCATCTAATTGTCTGTGATATAGCAACTGATGTAAAGGTAAGCATTGTTCAAGTAAGTGAGTACACCATGCATTTGATGGACGTTTATTCTTTTTCTGAAGTTTGTCCAAAGCAACTGATAATTGCTTGTTCGCAATAATGGTCAGTAACCTTAAATCCGTTCTTACCTCTCAAAAGTTCAAAAGAGATTGGTCAGCTGAACATATCATGCATAGTTTGATTGATTGGCATGTTTGATTGACATTTTAGAAGTTGATGGATAACAGAAAATTATAATACTTTATGGATAAGAACTTCTTTATTTCTTATCATAAGAAATAAAGAAGTTCTTATCCATAAAGTAGTGTACTTTTCTATTATCCATCATCTTCTAAAATGCCAATTAAACAGATGTTGTTGCCTGGCGTTAATTCCATGTGTTTCTCTACGAGATGAGTTGAAATGGGGTTTAACGTCGTGCTTAAGAATATTTCGCTCATATACGTGCATGCGTGTACGTTTGGCTGATTGAACTAGCCCAGACTT